TAGCGAGCCCGGGCGCTGGAACAACAGTCTCGGAAAATCATCCATCTCCCCGCCGTGTGATGAAAAGGCTGAGTGTACACTGTCCCCTCTCTATTTCCTTATAGTCCGGTCCGCCTTCCCCATATTGGATGAATTCTTCCCATCCTCGACGCCTTCGCTCCAACACAATTTAGTGAGCTCCTCCCTCCCCAGCCTCACCCGAGAGCCTCCTGCGTTAGGTAGCATGGGATCCTGCAAGGGGGAGCCGTGACCTCGAGGCCTGACCCCAGGGACCAGGCGGGGCAGGGTAGAGAGGGATGAGCACAAAAGATGGATGTTTTTAAGCAGGGCTTTGCTGAAGGGTGTCGGAACCCGGACTGCAAGGGACTTCTGATTCTCAGACCTTTCTCCAACCATGGACTCCCTCCCTCCTCGCGGTCCCAGCCCACAAACCTCGAGACCTTTGCCTCCCTCCAACAGAGTGACCCCGCCCACCACCACCACCACCAATGATACCCTCACTCCACCTGGGTTTTCGGAGGCATCCCTGCCCATTTGTAGGGGGCGATGGAGGCTGGAGCAGGAAGGACGTGTTACGTGAACAGAGCTAACAGTAGTTTAACTGTGTACTCCTGGCTCCTTTCATAAGCATACGGCAGCCATACAACAGATGAAGCATTTATGCTGATTCCCCTAGGCTGCATCTACCAGAAAGCTCAAACTGTCCCTAAACTGCTATTTACACACCTCTCTAGAGTTGCCCAACCTTCCCCTGCTCCTTCTGTTCTTGGACATGAAGAAGAGTCACCAGCTGGATTCGGGAGGTTCTCAGTGCCTTGGATACAAAGGGGATGGGCGCCATAGCAATGACAGGAAATAGAAGCTGGCAGGATGCTGTTGCCCGCGTTTCGGCTGCCAGAGCTGGGGGTGTGTTGGTGTGTTCCTGCAGGCCTCTTCCTCATCAAGTGCTGGTGAATTGTCTCACTGGCTGGTTCCTGCTGGTGTTCCATGTCAACACTGGTGTTGATACTGATTAAGTTGAAATCAGACATTTTTCTCTGGCTATCTGGTGACTCAGTGCATTTGTGCCATTCTTAGATGATTACATGGGCATATGGCATGCCTGAGGATTCTTGGGCTTGGAAGAGTATTCCCATGCATGTGTCTGGCTGGAAACTTTAAAACAATGCTAATTTCTAGATCACTATTAGTAGCTAAAGCAATAGTGTAATGTTATCCTGAGGGAATGACCCAAGTGAAAATTAAGGGGGAAAAGCCTGTAAGTGGCCTGGACTCCATCCTCCTGTGTTCCCAGGCTCTGCTCATTAGAAAGCAAGTATTCCACAGTCAGGTGATCACCCGTAGGCTCACCGCCCCCCACCGGCCGTGAGCTTGCATGAGCACGGGGACTTGGTCTTGTTCCTCTGCGCGCCGGCAGACAGCCTGGGTCCAGTGATGCTCAGTAAGTACTTGACGAATGAACAACTAAGCTAAGAAATGCTCGTGTCTAAGTGCCTTCTGCAACGCTGGGACTGTGGAGGGGCATTAAGCCTTCCTCTCTCCAGATAAAGTTATAGAAAAATGTCCTTTTCCCTTAGTTTAATCAAGATTATTTTAGAATCTTTAAATGAAGTCTTCCCCCACTATGAGACCAAGGGAAAATGACTGTAAATACAATAAAGTGTGGGAACAGTTCTACTGAAAGTGCAACTCCTCTGCTATTCAGGCAACACACTCTTTCTTGTGCCTGTTGCAGGCCAGGAGGTACCCGAGTCCCTTCATTCACTTCAGCTCTTGCTCTGAGCACCCCAGTCCACAGGCTTTCTGCCCCAAGTCTGGGGCTTCGACATGTGACTTGCTCTGGTACCCAACAAGGGCAGCAAGTGTGCTGGTCTTGGTCAGGGCTGCATGCACAGGGCCTGACCCAGTCCTGGGCACAGAGGAGCGACGCAGAGATCTGAATGGATGCATTGTTCTGCAGGTACAGCAGTGTAAGTCCCATCCTCTAGCCAAAAAGACAAAGGATTGTTACCTTTGAAAGAAAGGAATCATTGCAGGTTTGATTCAGCCAGTATCAAATGAGCCCCAATAGATCCTGGCTGGGTATCCTCTCATACTGCTTTAAAAATCTTCACCACAGCCCTGTCACGTAGAGATGACTTAGGGAAAGGCGAATCCGTGGTGAAAAGGAGATCTCACAATGCAATGACATATTCAGAAGACATGATTGTTCCTCTTTTCTGTTATAGTCCAGGGCTCTCTTCCACATGGATATTCAGGAATCCATGTTCATTCCATCTTGTGCGCCTACCATCCCCTAGTGCACTGCTCCTCAAAGGGCTGTTCTGCAAGGAGACAAGGAGCTTGTGGCAGACTGTACATCAATCCATTGCTTCCTTCATCAAGAACATCTTACTCTGTTGGCTGAACACTGGGTTTAGTGATGTTGTTGCTTTGCATTCTGGCATAAGCTCCTTATCTTGTTGTGGATGGGTTACAAACGGTTCCAGGAAGAGCAGCTGATGCATGGACCACACTTAGTTAGCACCGTCCTAGTGTACACCGACCTGCCTGCACAGCCCAGATTGCAGCTGGCGGGTTGGGGAAAGTGGGAAGGCCAGTATATTACTTAATATACCAGCCCAGACATACCACTTATCACTTCTGCTCCTGTTTTATTGGGTAAAACTCAGCCACTTGGTCACGGGTGACTGCAGGAGAGGCTGGGAGCCGTAGCCTTGATAGTCAGTCGGTTCAGGTTTTGATAGGCTTTTTACTGTGAAATAAGCCATATTACTTAGCTTTCCCATTTTCACTTATCAAAGACATAGGAACTGTCAGAATTTCTAACCAGTTTGAAGTAACCAGTATCAGAGAGTAGATGTCATTCTAGCTTAAGCCAATGAACCACTGCATTCTAGTTTATCTTTTCAGCTTCATCAGATGTAAATGTATGACTTTTTGAAATACAGAAAATCGCTCATGCATCTCTATCTTTGCCCTAAGGGGAGTCGAGGTTGGGCGTCTCTGCTCGAGGTTTAGGGGCTATTTTTTGCTGTCGTCGGTCACTTATACCTTGGTGCCTGGGAAGGTTTTGAGGGCAGGTCTCACGACAATGAGATGCCCCAAGATTCTCAGGTCCAGTCCAAAGCAAAGGAAGCAGGTTTTGAAGGCAAATGGCAGCAGGGGTTAGAGAGGGAGGCACTGGTATCCTGAACCTATGTGGCTCCTAATTCTGCCTCTGCCACTGAGGAACTACTATGTGACCTCAGGCCATTGACTTAGCATCTGCATCTCAGTTCCTTCGTCTATAATACCTCTCTCCCTAGGGTGTTAGGAGGATTAAATGAGGTCATATGTATCTATTGACTGGTAGCTACTTATTTATTTTAATTAATAATAATGGAGAACTATAATTAGGGCAAGCTAATTTTTATCTTAGTTGTGAGTGTCACGATGGCATCATTTCCTTGCTCGGTGCCTAACCCAACGCCAAGTGCTGTTTGGATCCCCGAGGAGGTAATCATACAGATAATAGCTGCCACTTAGCATCCGGCATGCCCCAGGCGTAAGCATTCGCCTGTGTAATCGTCACAGCTGTCCTAGGACAGAGATGTTAGCTGTCCTATTTTATAAATGAGGAAACTGAGGCTCAGAAGAGTTAAATAACGTGCCCAGTGACCAAATGGTAATGGGCAGAGTCAAGAGTCGACCTAAGATCCACCAGATTTTCAAGCTCTGAGCGTGGTTAAGTCTGGCAAACATGAATTTCTTTGTAGTTGCAGGACTTTTCTGGGGGTTGATAAATTTCATCACCCAGAAGACAGAGAAAGTGTATTAAAAATAATTGTAGAGGAGATATCGGGGATAACTTTTAGAGATCTTTAGGTGGAACCTCACTGCAGACGCCTCTGTTTGCTTAGTTTC